ACATTATTGTGAGCTATCTGAACTTGTGTGAAAACAATTGTGTAGTTGGCTTAACAAAGAAAGGGTGCTTCATTGTTTGGTAGAAAAGCAGTTAAGACTTCAAAACCAGTTGAAACCAATGCATACACTGCCTTCATGGATTTCCTTAGTTTGCTGTCTTACCTGTGCAGAATCAGCAGTGCAAGAGGGTCACAGAAGTGTTTTGAGAGGGCTTTTGTGTTGTTTATTTGTTTTTGTTCTTCTGCTTTAACTGCAGATAAATTTATAAGGGGTGAGATTCTTTGGTAATACCTTCTTTTTAGAAAGCTGCTGTATGAAACTGGAAGGGTTTCTTTGGGTTTTTATTAAGAGCTCCACCTTGTTTCTGATACTACTTAGGATTTTATTGAGAGATTCTTCTTCTATACAGCTTCCTTACAGCATTTTAAGTAAGTATGCAAAAAAGCTGCAGAGAAAGATCACTGGGACAAAGCAAGAAGCATTCTTTGCTGTTGTCACAGTTTTGTTAGTGTTGGGGGAAATGTGGAAATGTTTTTTAGTTGGTATTTACCCCCCCGGAAGTTAATTTGGAAACTTGCTGATGGGAAATTAACAAAAAATATCCAATGTGGAAATTATTTTTTTAATGTAGTTAACATAAAAATGTTGAGTGACTTATTTTTTGAATGGAAGTCACAACATTTAGACATATAAGAATATAACTGTCTTTTAAAATGTAAAATAGCTCCATGAGACTACTTAACTATCTGTACATGACATCTTCTAGTCTCCTTAACTACTGTTTGCTTTGTTAGATGAAACACGGATTTGAAAATTAAAGACAGTTGTGGTTTGGAAGAGCAGTTGTTATCAATGAACTCTGTTTCTTGGAAAACTAAGAGCACAGAGCTGGTAACTTTGGCTTTGGAGTACTGAAGCCTATGTCAGGCAGATGTGAAGGATTTTGATGATCAAGGGTACGGTATATTTCAGTGGGCTATTTCCATTTCCATTCTCCTTGAAAGTGTGCACCTTCCCTCTAGCTGTGCTTGAAAAATCATGAAAAGAACCACAGGCTGGAAAGCAGCTAAACCAATCTAGATTAAAGAGGCTGCAGTTTGGGATAGTTGAAGGCCTCCTTACTATGGCAATTGGAAGCCCAAGCGTAGAGGCTGAGTAAAGTGTTGTTACAGTTTTCACCAGTCTTCTGGCTGCTGACCTGATATTGGAAGATTTTAATCTAGCATAGAACAAATATCATCGTCATCGTTCATATCTCTGAAAGCAGCAATGTGCTCACTGTCTTTTATGTTTGATTCTTGCAGACACTTCAAATATGTATCTTATACCTCGTATCCTGCTTTTGAATTTGTACTGCAATATCATAACACTTCATCTTTCAGTGGAAGAAGTAGCTTTAGAATGAAGCCTAGTAAATACCTCAGGGCTATACTCTTGCCTCTGACCTCTAAAAGAGGTCAAACCAGCTGAATTCTCATTTACGGAAGAAAACTTCCTATGCTGCATAAGCACTGTACGCATTTAGGGAGATTCAGGAGAGTTGATCTTGAAGTGTCATTTAGTTTGGTTGTTCTGTTTTCATGAAAACATTCCCTGTAAGAGCCCTTGAACACACACTAATGAGGAAAGAGGTGAATAGAAATAGACCACAGAATTCTGAATCCCTATTGTACCATCTAAGGAGAGACTAAACTTTGTAATTAAATATACTGAACAGCTCTCTCCAAGCCTCTTCACACTTCAAATTTTAAGTTGAGTACTGTAGTGTGAGCCCATCTTGAATCACATGTCCATGAAAAAGCTCCAGGTCAGCAGGGCCCAGAACTACCAATTACTTCCTTTTCTGTTGGGAATGCTTGTAACATAGCTCTTATTTTTGGTATCCGACATTCAAGATGGGAACTGGAGTGGTTGGAGGCATGAAGGTCCTTGCAGAAAATACCAGACCAAGTGACAACGTTGTTCCACCCCTGAATCAGGACACAGTGGTGTATAGTTGCTACAGAGTCCTGTACAGCTGCTAGATGACCAGTGTCTGAGTCAAGATCAGTGCTGTGGCATTCCCCTTCTGTACCTTTTTATTAAGCAAAATTCTTTGGACAGAAGCAATCCTACCAAATTTAGGAGAATTTGGGAAGATTCCCCTTCCCTGCCTTTTGGCTTAAGGCTGTAGTTCACCAGAAAATGCCATATAAAAAAAGGGAAATTAGAAGGCTGGAGCACCTCTCCTGTGAGGACAGGCTGAGAGAGTTGTGGTTGTTCAGCCTGGAGACAAGAAGGATCAGGAAAGACCTTACAGTAGCCTTTCAGTACCTAGAGGGGCTGACAAGAAATCTGGAAAGGGTTTCTTTTACAAGGGCATGAAGAGATAGAAAGGAAATGGCTTTAAACTGACAGGGGAGGTTTAGATTAGATATTAGGAAATAATTCTTCCTTGTGAGGGTGCTGAGGCACTGGCACAGAGTGCCCAGAGAAGCTGTGGCTGCCCCATCCCTGGGTTATTCAAGCCCAAGTTGGACAGGGCTTTGAACAACCTGGTCTAGTGGAAGGGTGTCCCTGGCCTTGACAGGGGATTGGAACTCGATGATCTTTAAGGTCCCTTCCCACCCAAACCAGTCTGGGATTCTGTGAGAATCACCAGCCTCTCTGGCAGGTCACTAATCTGGCAGTGAGAGGGGCAGCGCCATTGTCTGGGCCAGCACTGGGGAGGACTGTGAAAGTCTCATCGACTGGTTAATGGCAACATACTGAAGTGTCAGGCAGGCTCATTAGGGACATGCTTTTAATTTGGTCAGACAGGCGCTGCCAGGCTCCATTGTGCAGAATTAAGCAGTGTGAATGGAGCCCGTAAGCAAAGCTGCTGGAATCTGCTTTTGTGTTCCCTTTGGACGGCTGTCCTGTTTTTGGTGTCTTTTCCAGTTCGAAGTGGCCACGTGGAATTTTGGCACTGTTAGTGTTACAAAAGGGTAGTTATACACTTAGTGAGGAATTGGCCTGCACAGAGGGCTGCACAGTTCCAGCACTTCTGTCACTGAATACCTATTAGCTGTGAATAGACAGCTTCTCCACCTGTGGTGTCAGGCTCTGTGCTCACCCTAGGAGGCTGCCTTCCTCCCCAAAACCAAGAGGAATTTGTGCCTTTGTCTATCCAGATGCAGGGATATCTATTTAGGGAGATAGTGTTTTTCCAAGGGTGGAAAAACACTTGCTGCGTGGGAGGCATTATTTCTTACAAACAAGCACTGAGTTTCCTCATTTTACTTTACCAGGGATTTCTATTAGAATAAGGCTGAAGGGAGGGAGATTTGGAATGATTCTGGGAAGCTTTGACTCAAGAAGGAGAGAATGATTCATGGATTATTATTGTTATTTATTAAGGAGAACAGACTATTAAACCTAATCTTTTGCTTATCTTTCTCTTTGAAAACTTAAAGCACTTATGCAGTGACCCCAGAAGAGTTTGTGGGTTTGAACCAAGGTCCTTTGGCATAAAAACATAAATCCCTTCTGTGGGTGCTAGTATACAACCATTTTAAGGTTGATTTATTCCAAGATTTATTCCTATTACCTTCATACTTGGTAATTATTTTAATAGTAAATCCTCAGTGCATTCCTTCTCTGTTTGTGAAGCAGGGTGGTAAGTCAATCAGGGGAAGTGGGGGCAGCAGAGGCAATTTGCAAAACAGATCTGACAAGTCTTGAGACTTGCCACTTTCTGCATTGACAATGCTCAGTTTATCTCTGGTTATTGCTGGAGTCTTGAGGTCATTCATTCACGAGTCACTCTTTAGTTTTGATGGAGAAAAATCTGATTACTGAGAAAAGCAGCTTGTTTAGTAGCAACCTTTTTCTTCTCCTTAATTTGGAAATGAGTATTTACTTCTCAAAAATAACTCAAAACGTAAGTTCAGTTACAGTGTACATTAGAAAGAAGTTTTTAAGCTCTAGCTTAACATAAGTTTAAGAACTATGAGGTGATTTACATTTATTTTTGAATCCTGATACTATGAAAAAAAAAGATCAGTGCAATGTAAACTATGTTATAATTAATATTTGAGAAGAGAATTTAAATGAAGGAAGAAGTAAAAACATGGTCTGTGTCACACTGTAATTTCATTCTTGGACTTCAGAAGATAACATAACTGAGTCTTTTAGCTAATTCCTTAGGTGAGTTCATTAAAGAATCAAACTAGATTCTGTCCAGTTTATGAAAATGAAAAGGCACTTGACCGTGGTCACACAGTCTTATCTTTTCCACTTACGGTATCACACTGTAAAGGCCCATACACCACTAATACTTTTGGATATGTTGTCAGTAGCTGAGAGTCAGTGAAGCTTCCAAGCTTTTAACTAACTCTTAACTGGTGGAGACTGGAACAAACATCTTCATTATCCTCCTGGAAAATCTTGTTGGCAAAGCACTCTCATCATATCTAAGCAGCTGTTGTGGATTCTGCTTCTATTGTTGTCTGTTAAATTGGGTAGCAGCGTAATCCAGCAGGGATAGAGAATGCGTGCAAAGACTCTTCTAGTGAGAAAAATTAAAGAAAAAGGACAAGCATCCATTGTCACAGCATGGATAGAAACTTGAACTTAGATCTGTATTTTACTGCACTAGGGAAGGCAGAAATCCTCAGCTTCCAATACTGTGAAGGGAACACTTTTGACCAACCCAATGCCTATCCTAGAAAGATTTCATTATAGGCTCAAGGAAACTGATTTCCGTCAGTAGGTCTAATAAACACATTGTGCTAAGTTGTCTCCAAGGTTTTAGATAATCAACAGAAATCTTAATTAAGTTCTGATAAGAATTCATGAGTAATTATAGACATTTACTTGACATGTAAGCAATCCTCTAAGGTCACCAAAAATAATTTATTGGTTCATATTTATTAATGCAGTTGAAACTTCCTTTGCTTAAAGCTTCAAAGTAATGTCAACCGCGTGGCAGTGGAAGAGATGTAATAAGGTATCACAAATCCATCAATAGTTTCTTATGCCTGGAATGAACTTGTCCTGTGTCCTGTTGAACAATCTGCATAACGGTTTCGACAGAAATAAGATAAACTCTGTCGGGATTGTTAGTACCTTCCAAAACTGAACTCCAAAAGTGAGCCATACAGTCAAGCATGGGAGTGTATGGGTAAAATTACAAGGAGAGGCTGTATAAGAGCAAACATATGTCAAACATAGGGTATAGCTTTCCTCCTAATGGGCTTGGGCTTTGTAGGCCACATAGGTTGCCAGAATTGAACACGATATAGTTTGTGGCTTTTGTGTCTTATTTCTTAATGAATGCATGATGTACAAATCAAATACTGCAGCAAAATATGAGGAGCTATAGTTACCCTACCAAGTGGCCTGTCTCCTGTCCTTGATTTGACCCCTGGTGTTCTCCTCTGCTATCCTTATCTCCCTCTCTAAATTAGCAATCTACATAAAGAAAAGGAACATCAAAGATCAATCCCAGCAAGACAGTTCCTCATAATGAGAATAAAGGCTCTGTTTTATGGAAAGATCTTGTCAGTCAACATGCTAAAATCCACAGTCTGAGCAATACATCCCAGAGACCATTACTGGGGAGTGTGGTTGAAACTATTTCCCTGGGAGTGATTTTGTTTCTTGGGCAAGTCTCTCACAGGTGAAATCTATTAGGAAGGCCAGACCACTTCCTATAAGCAAGCAAGCAAGGACAATTCAAAGAATAGGCAATGATGTGTTGCCTTATAAGCAGGGAAGGTCTAAGAGAAGACTGCAGATTTTAGTGGAAATAGAATTTTTTGGGGAAAATCCATAGTCTGTAATGGGATTTTGAAAGGAGCTATTTATTCTATGCAAAATTGTCCAGTCTACAGAGCTGGTAATTTAAAAAACAAACAGAAATGCTCAAAGAAAAGCTCAAGCAGCCTGACCTGGTTATTGAATGGAAGTTGCCCTCTTTTTGTGTAGTATAGGTGGGACTGACGATAGATTTAAGTCATCTGTTATTATAGTCATTGCTATGCAGTGTGATTTACTTTGCCATGGGTAATTTCAACTGCAGCAGCCAATGCTGATAGTTCGAGTTTGGTATCGCCACCATTTGCGATCTGAGATGCAGTCCTCTTTTTTTTACATACACACACCTTGCTTGTTTTTTCCTGGAAGATGATCAAAAGAATCAATCTTATAGGGATCTTCCTCTTCACCTGAGAGGCACAGAGTTAGGTAAGTAGTTACTCTTGCAGATTCTCTTAACAGCACCCCCCAGCTTCAGCCTGGCAATACAGCACTGACATGTTCCTCTTCTCTCCTAGGAATGAGACTGCAAGATCCAGCAAGAAGGTATGCTGTATAGTTAGTTACAACAGATTCCATATCCATTCCAAAAAGATAAGTTTTTTTTCCTTAGAATTCCTATGAATCTGAAATTCAAATATTCTTTGAAGTCAGTTCTCTTGCAAAAATTTCTTTATCTTTCTCCTGTAATATCTTAAAGTATATGTAGAATGTGGTAATTTCTTGTTTTGCTTCCTTGGCTAGAGAGAATTTAGTGCGTATTTTTGCATTGCCTCACTAGTTTGAGTGGTTCATCTTGCCTTCCAAAACTGATTACATGTCCATCAATTCAACCAAAAACCATTTTTGAGAACTCCTTGCCACTGTTATATATACTGAATAAATCAGAACCAAAGTCTCTCAAATACATTTTTCTGTGACACAATAAAATGATTGCTAGGATATAACAGTCTGTAGCTGGAACTGAGTTATTTCAGCATTGAGCAAATAAACCAGCCAACCTTCCTGTTCCCCACCCCTTCCACTAAAATCACTAAGAAGTGTATAATACAAGTATCTGATCTTTTTCTGCAGCATCCAGAGAAGCCTGCAGAAGCAACCACCTGAAACAGTCCTCTTTGTGCTCTCCACCTCACGTGCCTTGTCTCCGAATCACTGCATTTGGGCTTTCTCCTGACACTGAGTCAGTCTGCTTGTTATTAAACATTTTCCCATCTGCCTTTGGCTCCAAACTGGATTTCTCCTGGATCCTGAAAGCCGTGAATAGTTTTGAAGGAAAATTACCTGAGAGAAGCAGAGTACAACCTGAAGAGCCCTCCACATGTTACCGCTAAGTCCTGGAAGCCTCCCTTCAGGATTAGTGCTTCCTTAGTTGCTTCAGTGGCCAGGACTAGTACTGTGCTGGTCAGCAGGTCTCTGGGGGTGCCCTTGGCTCTGGTTCTCCCTCAGGTTGTTTTCACTCCTCTTTCTTCACAGCAGTCTTTCCTCCTCAGCTACTCTTCTTTCTGTCTTACCCATGTGATGTTGCTCTTCTGTGCAAATACACATAAATCACAGTTGCCCTGGTTCCACCTTCCACTCTTTATATTTGACTATTAAATTTCACTTTATTTTTAATCAAACCAGATCACATGTTTGGCATGTTTAAGTTGCCACTGTGAGGTTCTTCTCCAAACAGAGTTCAAACCATTATGTTACAGTCTGTACCAGACCCTTCCTAGCAGCTGTGTTTATACAGCTCCTAGTAAAATGGGTCCCTGATTAGGATTTTTGAATAGCTCATTCACTGAAAAAATGGTGTTTTGAACTAGCTAAAGCTATTTAAAAATTTGGGATAATACATGATTAAAAGTTTTGGGTTGAAGAAATGTCAGTGGCAACACCCTGCCAAATTTTAGCCCCAAAACATCATCACCATTCATATCACAAAGATTAAGTTACTGGGATTTAATTGGGCAAGAAGTGTTTTGCCTGTTTTAAAGAAAATAGCTGAAAAATTCATTTGATAGAGATTGAAAATTATATGTTCAGAGGAGTCTCCCAAAATGGATAAAAATTTGGTAAATTACATGAAGCTAAGGATATGTTTTTTATCTTGCAACTGTCAGGCAACAGTAATTTTTGGCCACCTTGATCCAGAATAAGAAACTGAACATTAGACCAGCTCTGGGGTTGCTTCACACCTCTCAAGACAAACTGAAAAACCAAACCCCATCTTCTACTCTGGGTGACACTGATAATACGCTGAAGACACTGTGTGTTGGACAGGTGGATTCTAAATAACCATTCTGTTCCTGCCATGCCAGGCAACCTCTCTCTATGAGGTTGGAGGAGGGATGATGGTTGGTGTGCCAGCAGCAATGCTTTCTGGAGTGCAGGGAGCCCTACAGGCTTGAAAGGCCTTAAGGCTGGGAGGAAAAGGTACATCCTCTGGACTGTTCCCTGCTGTGGAGTTAGCTGCATTTCCAGTATTCTGCAAATTTGGCTACATGCTTTCTTGCTGCAAATACTAGCATTGAATAAAACCAGTAACCATGTATTAAGGCAGGGAAACACAAGTGCTGCTTCTGCTCCATTCAGTGGTAACACATGATTAAAGGACCAAAAGCTATTTCAGCTGACAAACTCCATACTTAAATGTTTTTTTAAACTGTAAACTAAGAGCAAAGATTTATAAGTTTGTGTCATGGTTCATAAATCTAGATCTCCTCTTGTCCTTTTACTCTAGACAAATGGCTTGTAGAGGAAATTGGAGTGGTTTGGATAAGTCTGGGTTTCAGCAGTCAGCCCTCTTAGGTCAGACATGTAAGAAACATCTGTAATTGTTTGAGGAATTTGGCAGACAGTCTTGTACTTAAATCACATTTTCCCCTTTGAAAGCTGGAAATGCCCGTGTATAAATTAGACACACCAGCCACATACCTGAGCACGTGTGGAATTAGACAAGGTATCAACTTGCTGTTACCTTGCAAATCCTACTGCAAGGGAAAAGCAAGTTGATACCTTGCTATAATAAGAAGCTGGTTTAATGTTCTTAAAAACCATTTATCTTTTTTCTGCCCCAGAATAAAATCTGATAGTTTTAAGGGGAGTTGCCATTAAGAGGCAGGCTCCTTCAGTGTTCAGAATTTGCTGCTTAGATTTTGACTAAGACTAAAATCAAAAGGTTCTTTGAGTAAAATTATACAGACCCTCCTTTCCACGCAGAATTGCTAAATTATGTGCATAGTTGTCACATACTGGGCTTCTGAGTACATTTAACTTGTGCATAGTCTGTCTAGAATCATCCTGTAACGAGATGATGTGAATTCAAAGCATATTAAATTTAATCCTGGTTTTCAGGATTATACCCTGCAAATTTAAAATTGCAGAGTATGCAAAAGGCATAATGTTCCTGACTGCTCAGTATAAAAAATGAGGCCCAGCTCAATGTGAAGTAAGTTTCTGGTTCTGCCACTGAAAGCGAACTCAGTAAACTGGCTTTAGTGGGAGATTCAAGCTGATGTCTGGTGACCTTTGTCAAGCAGGGCAAATGATTGCTATGTTTGCTACAATTGCATTAGGCTGGATGCTTCTGGTACAGCCTGAGCAAATGAAGTTTAGAAGTCTGGCTGTCTGTCAGCAAACTTTGCCTTCTGATTGATTCTATAAATGCTGTAGCATAGACCCTCCAGGCAGGAATTCGAGGCTCTGCTTTATTTGATGCCAGGTCCTTTAATAATTTCAGAAAGTGATTTTGCTTGTAATAGAAAACCATGATGAAAACAGACAAAATCATGAATAATGTGTTAAAGTCAATTCCTCTGTGTCAGCTTCCCGCATAGCATGCCCTTTGGTGGGCACAGTAGCTGTCTGAACAACCTGAGGAAGAGGCTGTCAGACAGATGCTTCATACAGGCTGCATCTCTGTGTGTTGCAGCTCAGGAATGACATAGCGTAGCTGTCAACTATAGCTGGACAAAGAGCCAAAACCAGGCACAAACACACACACATCCCCACCGAAAAAAAAAAAAAAAAAGCCTGAATTTCCAACTACCTGTTATCTTTTTTTGTATGAATGACCTGTAAGAGCTAAAGACTGTATTGATGGTTCAAAGACCCAGCTGTGATTCTGACCTTGACCACTGAAATGCTAGTAGCTTTACTCTAGAAGTATCCTTGGTAGCTTTAAGCTCAAGGATGTACTAGATTTCTTCCTAGCAGCTCTCAGTGCCCAATCTTGTGCGATGCCAAGCCTTCCCATGTTCAGCACCGTGCTTGATTCAAAGGACAGGCTCAGTTGGTTGTCAGTAGCCTTTGTGAGGCAGTGATTTTTATTGTGGGCTGATTGAGCAAGAATCACACTAGTGGGAAGGAAGGTGGAAAAATTGTCTCCCTTTAAGCCATTGCTGGAATAAAAATCACTCCTCCTGTCTTCAGAATGCCATTACTATAGCACCATGGAAAAGGGACTTACTGTTTTCTTGCAACACTCCGGCACCTCCTTTACTCTTGTTTTCCTTTCTATCCTCTGTGCTTTCTCCTTCCTGCTCTTTCTTCTATATTCAATATCTCCCTCTGTTTTCACTTACTCTTCATTTACACACTTAATGCAAGGCAGTCAGTTTTAACTGCTCTTTGTCGGCCTTTACTCCCTGGGAATAATCGACATCCTTTCTGCTCCCTTCCCAGGGCTTTCTTGTATGCCAACGCTGTCATGTCTTAGCCAGTTGAAAGGCTTCCGGCTCTTCAGCCAAGCAAGTAGTTGATAGCAACAACCTGGGTGCCTGACTGGACTCAGCTGAGTATCTCTCCTTTGGGATATTCTTGGTGGCTGCTGCTATGCTCGATGCAGCACAGCCCAGTTTCTCTGTATGTGGTGGGGGTGGCCGGAAGGGCTGTCATAGAAAGTGCAAACCATCCTGGTTTCTTCCACAACTGCATTGTTTTTCACATGAAAAATACAGGTTTCCTCTTCAGGAAGATTATAATCTTTCTGGAAGATAATTTTCACATCTTCAGGGGAATACAGTGTACCATTTCTCTTGCAAGCCTAGCTGAACCACTTCAGAAAGTGGCAGTGAGTATGTTATTGCTGATTGACAGTTGTCAGTCACTGGTTATACATCTTCAATGTTTTTCCTGGGCACGCTGCATTGCCTGACACAGCTCTCCAGAATGTAGCAGGAGGCCATGCAGCATTTTCATTTATTTGTTTGTGGAGATAGCTGCAGGATTGCAATGTCAGAAATTATTGCTTAATCTTAAGGGATTTCTTGGCATTTTGTTGCTACAATAAAGTCATAGTTGTCACAATGGCTTAGTACAACCACAGAATATATGTACAATTACTCATGCAGCCTGAAAATGTACTGCAATAATAAAATACTGCATTTACATATCTGCGACTTGGATTCATTTGAGTCTTCTAATGCTACTTTTGTCTTTGCTGTGTTGTTTAAACGCATATTTCTCATATTTGAGTTTTATAAAGATGTTAAGAAGAGTTGCGTGCTGTCAGTCTGGTCACATTTTGCAACCAGTCTTAAAATATGTGGGGTTGTGTCTCAGCTGTCTTCATTACCTAGGCATTTCAGTTTTGCAAATCCATATTTATGAGGAATTTGTTCCAGAGTAGAACTGCCATTGCATTGTTAATACTAAGATGACAGTTGGTCTGCAAACGAGTTGTCAAGCACACAAAGGCAGTTTCCGCTGGAGTTGTTTTCAGCTGTCCTGAGTCCCAGCCAGTCCATGTTGTGAAGCATTTGCAAAGTAAGATCAGTGCAGTGCAGAACTGCTGCTGAAATACAGGAAAGCAGATTCTTGAGACAAAAATGAGGTTGCTGTGTCTCCACCCTTGCCCTAGCAGGTCAAAAGTTAGCTTTGCTTAAGAACATAAAGGTATCTGCTTTTCTGTGTGGCTTAGTTGATACCACTTTGTTCGGGGTTATGTTCACTGTATGCAGAGCATTAGTGTACAGGAGGAATGGATTTTTCCAGTAGAAATTATCCTAGTTTCACAAGTGTGAAAACCACTTTCTCTGTACTGTGTTTTTGAAGATCCTTTCTCACACTATAATCTTTATGTCTATTCCTCTTGTCTCCTGTGAGATATTTCAGTTCAAGCATTATGATTAAGTCAGAAGAGCATTCACCTTGTGTACAACGTGACGAATGCTCCAGTTACCTTCTTACCTGTATCTGTGGGATTAGACCATGAACTCTAATAGTTGAAAACATCCCTGGCAGGTTACTCATACGCACAGTCATTTTGGTCTAAGTAGAATTGCTTATGTAAGTAAAAAACCTTAATCGTATCTTGTAGTGCTACTTAGCATAGGCACATTGGTCATTGATGGAGTATTGCTGGAGGAGCTTTCCCAGTGCTTCTTTGTGCTTTTACTATTTCTGCTTGTCATGGTCTTAGTGACCACTTCTGGGTTTTAGTAGGACCCTTGTTTGTCTGTTACGATGTGTTTGAGATGAGATTTTTAGTATGTCTCGCAGAACAGATCTGAAATCCCAAGTTAATCAAACTAATCTGATAAAATAGGTTTTAGAATTAATCTCATACCAATCTGCAGCTCTGTAAAAAGCATACATAAGCATTATTTATTGTCTGTAATCACAAGAGGGGGAAAAACCCCACATGTAGGATGGCTGCACTCAGCTCCTGCAGCAGCAAAGAATTTCCTAAGAACACCGAACATGATAATCACAGTCCAATGTGTTAGCCGAAACTTTGTTAAGAAATGCTTGTGCACAAAGCCAGTCTCTCTGAGAAAGGAGAGATTGAGCTGAAAATCGTCCCTTGAAACTTGGCAGATTTTTAAGGTGAATAGGAAGGAAAGGAGGAAAAATATGATTTTTCAGGCTGTAATGAAAGATGGCCTTGGAGGACATGTGCATGTGCAAGGAGCCTGAGAGAGAAGATAGAAAATTCAACATCTTTGATCACTGACAAATCACCTTAATGATCTGACAGCATCTTCCTACCGGCTGCATCAATATTAGGGCTATTTATCACTTTCATAGATTCACGGCATTATGTAATACGACTTTTCTATCAACACGTGGTTTTTCTTGCTTGGTGAGCTGAAGAACAGTTTCTTAAGGTTACTTCAGCAGGGAAAGCACACAAACAAATAGGTTGTACTCCATTTCAGACTGTGGTTTATTTATGTCTCCGAACCATTTTTGTCTACCACAACCATCAAAGCTTGAGAAATTGATTCCAGAAACTGTTATTTTGCTATTCATCATCAAAGGTTTGGTCAAAGGTTTCTCCTTATCACAGTATTTATGTCTTCACAACCCTCTTAGTGAGACGTCCCAGCATCCCCTTTGGTGCAGTTTAGAATAGCTGAATGTAATGAAACATACAAATGGAGAGGTTTCCATAAAGATAGTAGGGGTTTTTGAAAGCAGTCATATCTTTACCATTTATTACTGGGAAGCAGATATGTCATCACACTTCTTGGGAGACAGCCATATACAGCTGCTGGATGGAACTGATTTTTAGAAAGCTATTTTATAAGAAGCATCATTCATCACACTGAGACTGAGAGGCCTTGATGCTGCCAAAACTAGTGGGTATACTGTAACACCAGCAAACATTGAAATAAGAAATCAGAGGCATTAGTGTCCTGGGTTTGGATTTCTTCGTGTTTAAAATGTTTTTGTGTGAAGGTCTTGTTGATGGTTTTGGTGATGATGGTGTTATATCGGTCATTCACATGATTTGCCATAGATAATAATTTTTTGGACCAGGAAGGACTGTCCAGTGCTTATTGCTGTTAAACGTTAAGAAAATACTGCATGTATAAAGTGATGAGGTTTTGTGGTCAACTAAAGAATGTGTCAAAAGAGGGAGAGCAGGACTGGAAAATGGGGCATTCCATTTGCAAGTAACATAGAGGCCAGATCCTGCTCTTTATAATAAGGAGTTTCTGTCATATTCCTCTAACACAATGATGATGATAAGTCATTCAAAAGTATGTTCTAATTTGATCATGCTTACGGGCTTTCTTGTTTTCACTAAGTACATTTGCATGTCTGCGTTTCCCTACGGGATACCTTCTAAGCAGAGTTTAAATCAGACTTAACATTTGCCAGTATTAAATTGAACATTGTATAACTGATCACAAAACCTACAGTTTATGCATGAGTGCAAGTATCAAAGAGGACTTTGGCATAACTAACACAGTAGCCTATGCAAATAATCATAGTTGAAAAGGAATTAATCCCTTTCCAAAGGATCAGCACAAATCTTTCAACAGTCCATAAGCCTGTTTTTGAGGGAGCAGGTGCTTAGCAAGCCCTGAGGATTCAGATTTTAAAACATTCTGTACTCTGCATTGACACATCCAAATACCTTAGAAATAAATTTTCAAACTTTTATTCTCTTACAAATTTGCTACAAATTCTGTATATTGTGAATTTAGCTGTAACTTACTTGGTATGCAGAAATTCTGTAAGAGCAGACTTGGATCATCTCAGTCTGAAACTGGACAATACCAGCTTTAAGTTGGGATAGAACAAAGCTGTAATTGATGACTGGCCAGGTCTCCTTGCCAAGCTGCTCATTTTGATCATTTATACCAAGAGACCCTTATTTTGTAGAAATCCTTTTGTTGGTGAAGACAGCAGACAGGTTCTATTATGTCCTCAGAGAGGCTGGCATGGTGCCAGTGTCAGCAGCCAGCAATTCGAAGTGTCGTGTCTAATCACAAGATTAATTTTTTCCTTTTATTGGCTTTTCCTTTCAATGCTACCAAGCATGACATGTTGTAAAGCAGTAACACTAGTTGAACAAGGGTTGGCTAACATCTCTGAGCCTCCTGGCTATGTCGATAGCAAAATGAACATTTGGCTTGATGTGCAGCCAGTAGAGACTCCCAGGAAACCAAACTAGGAAAACACACTTGTCAATGAATGGGCCATGTGCCTAGTGAAGAATTAGGGAAGAGGAAGCCAGATGCACCTGGGTATAAGAGCCATATTGGGGCTCACATTCTCTTTTATCTTGCACATTTCAAGCATCTGCAGTTTCAATAGCATATCAAATACACGAGTTTTCAGGCTATACATCCAAACCATTAATGGTCTGTGTTTATATTAGGATGTATTTATTTTAGCCTTAGAGTGGCCATATGCAAGTTAGGTTCTAAAAGAATTAAGTTAAAGATTTGCACTCATCCTGCTGAACGTAATGACTGCAAGAGGTTGTGCCTTGCTTTGAATCATACAGGAAAAAATGACCTTTTTCATTTTTTTCAGAGGGATGATGCTAGATTCAAAACTTTTTTGTCCTTAGAATGTTCAGCATCCCTAGTGTGCTATGCCATCATGCAGACACGTGGGCATAGGCAGGAGTGCTTGTGGTGCAGGAAAAGGCAGGCTTAGTCTGTCTGCTCCTGTCTGTAACTAACCATGCCCATTTGTGCTTATTCAAGGAACTTCAGTGGTCTTGGAATGGAAATTTAGCAGAGTTTCATGTGAGTGGAAGAATGGATAACTCTCTGCTTGGCAAAGTATCATATGTGAGCTTCCAGAACCCTGCATTTTGAGGGTTATTAAATATTGTAAAACTTAATATACTCCTGTCTTTCTACAGTGTATCTTGTAATCTATGAATGTCACTCTCCTTATGTTCTGTGCTGCCAAAGACAGATCATATAACTTTACTGAACATATAGGAAGATAAGTGTACCTCGAGGGTAATGTCCCTTTAAGACTTCTGTTTGTGGATTTGACTCAGTTCACTGGTGTCTTCAGTATAAATGTGCAGATTTGGATGTACAATTTCCAGCCAGAGCTGCATTTTATTAGCTTTTCACAATCAATAGGTAGGGCTAACAAAAATCAGTTAATCTACTGTATGAATAATATAGCTGCCAAAAGATCAATGAAACAGTTTCTGCAATGAAACTGTTCTATGATTGATATTCTTGTGAAAAGATTTCAATAACTCGAAAGTAAAAATCCACAAATGGATCTTGTGTGCTATTGTGCCTCTATTGAATGTCACTTTTTTAAACAGACACCATGTGGCAGCTCTCAAGGAAGTGGCCTAATTTTTTGTTTCAAGGATTAAAAGTCCCCATTTCCTACCTCACATCTGTTTTCTGAAGGGGATGAGATTTGAGGGGGGGGGGGGATGAGGTAGGGTTATGCATTTATGTAAATATGAATTATTGACAGGAAATTGCAAGAGGAGACTGCAACCAAACAGCTGTCTTTGCAAATTTAATATTTATTACAGAGTTAGACAAAATGTCTTATTGTTTAGAGCATAATGTGCCTTGGGCATTGGCTTAGACACTCGCATTGGCTGAAAAGAATTTCCTAACTCCCTTTTCCACACAACAGAAGATTAAGTAGATAACAGCAACAACT